CAGCCTCGCTTATCTGCAATAGCTGCTGGAAAATTTGGATGTCTTCACGTCATGGACTTTTTAGGCAGGTATCAACAAGAGCGAATAACACTAGCAGCATTTTAGAGATTGTAAGTCATTGTTTGAATCCGAATGGAAACATAACATTTTGAAATCAAGCGTTATCTGCAGCTCCACAGTCGGTTCTTTCACCCTGTACCAATCGATCTCTTGGAGCAACTTCGGTTCAGAGCTGTCATGTCTTGTCCCTCGAGGTGACGCACAACATCTCCAGACTGTATCTTCTACCTCTGAACCCCAGTGACGATAACCCCCCCCCCCCCCCATCACTCCTTCCTCTCCTCCCACCACCTCCGCCCATTGCCCAGAGGGGATTTATTGATATTGATTTGGATGGAAAGCTTTAAGTCTCCATTGAAGGGAGTATGAAGGCTGAGGTATTTTTAGGCTCTGTCGATCGGCAGCGCTCCCTTCAGCGGGGCCTGGCAGACAGCATGAAATCAATGCGGACGGCATCGATGTGGATGTTGGGCCATATGTTGCGAATACAATACATAAGAAATATCGGCTATTTAGTGCGAAGTAGACTGGTAAGTGAGTCGAGGCTGCCTTATTGATTTCGGCTGTTAAATCCACTTCAATCAGCCTTTCATCAAAGAGGAGATGAAAGAGGGGCGACGGGGCTAGAGGAGGACTTTTAAGCCTCCAGCGATGAACTGCTCCACTGACGAGATGTGGAGAAAAAACCCGCTCGAAACAATCTCGTGGTGATATTCAACAACTTAAGCAAATTTCTACACAAGCACCCTTATCTCGACTTCTGTAGCTGAAGTTCGGCTAATTTCATAGCACTTGACTTTGAGTATTTCGGTGTCTCCTGCAGCGTCTTGGATCCAGCGGGAGCAGCATTTTATCTCACTTCTTACCGCGAGATATTAGAGATGTAGGTTATAATTTGTGTTAACGAGGGGGAAGCCTCTCCTTTCATCACCACTTAAATCTAATATCCTTCAACATCCCAGGCCTCGCTGACTCATACAGGTCGTGCCCCCCCTGTGCCAAGGCATGGCGTGGATAATTAATCTAATTTTAGCGCTGGCTCTCAGTGTTACACTGGACACAGATTTCATCTTCACCCGTCTTAATGCTGCGATATAAGATGGCAATTCAGAGAAGAAACGCTGGATTCAATCGATTCATTGGGATCCATGTGAGAGGACTGAGTGTATTTACATGCATACTGGTGTCCTGGTTATGAGTCATTTCCTGTCTCTGTTTATATTCAGGATATTAAGCCTACATGGAAAACACTGTCACAACCTGGATGGCAGATTGAGACAAAACAAGAAGTCCTTATTCAGATGTAGCTGGAGTTCAGTGAGCAAAAATCAGCAGTGACAGCAGAGCGTGTAGAGTCGATTAGAAAATGAATATCGACAATACTGATCATTGACCAACTGCTGAAGTCGTTCATCAGTCAAAACATTTACCGGTTAAAGCTTAATGTGAGAACAATGTGAAAATGTTCATTACTTTCAGGCCTGGATGCAGAGAAGTGTGAGATGCTGTATTGTGCTATGGAAGTCTTGAACGCTGCCAAATCAAAGAGGGCAAACACACAGGGTGGGTGCCAGCTGGACGCAAGCTTTTACAGCCTTCAGGGCCCAGGACGACCAGGTGAACCACATCAGCTCTGAGTCATAGCAGGAGCAACCAGCGCAGCTCGCCAGACAGAGTGGGAGGGAAGCCACCGAGCAGTTATTCATATCCCCGGTTACATGATTTAAAGTTCTCAAAGATCCCGATCAGTGTCTGTCGTCTGTGCGGGCTGGTGTTTCACTCTCTGGCGTCCCACCTTCATTTAAAGTCTGGCTGCCTGAACTCAATTTAATGATCCATACCTTTAATGTTTGTCTGACGTTATCCAAGTTGTCAGATTGTGTATGAAACGCGAGCTAGACACAGAATCCAGACATTACATACATAACCCATCTGTTACGACAACCTGGCAACCCACAACCTGATTCAAGTGTTCAGGCTGGTTCGACTGCAGGATTATCTGTCATTAAATTAACAAATTTAATTTCAATTAACAAGTTTAACTAAACGAGTTAATTGTATATTCATGTAATGTTTATCTAAAGGTTATATGATGGAATTCAAATTTTAAAAAAGTGTAAATGAATCTTGTTATGTGTTTATTATGTAGTATTTCCCGTATTGTCAAACCCACATGTTGGCAGGTACCGTATGTATTCTGCACCTGGCTTCTCCATTCAAACTGCCAGCAATGGAGGATAAACAAGAGGAGTGATAATTATTCAGCCTTTTCAACACACTACTGGCATCAAACGTAGAATGAGTGTCCTGCAACTAAATCCAATAAAACTCACTCCTCCACTGGCAGAAAAAAGTAAATACTAATTAGATTTAATTAGTATTTTTTTTTTTTTTTTAGGTTTGATCTATTTTGACTTAGATTACTGCATATAACTAATCATACTGTTTGTGTTTTCTGATTAACTTCTATTCCTCTCTGTGCAAACTGATTCTGATACATGTTGATTTGATCTTAAACCAAAGTATTCCTGTTTTTGTTGTGAATAGTTCCACATATTCAGGTTCATCAAGTCTAGGATCAGAACTCATGTGACTGATGTTTCCATGTGCGAACACAAACAGGATTCTCCTTAAACCGATTGACGTTGTTCAAATAAACATTATTCAAACACTTATTCTTCCCAGCCTCAGCAAGTCATCTGTGGCCGTGAGTGTTTCTGCTTCACTTGTCTCTCCTGACTTTTTCCTGTTTGTTTTTGCGAATCCAACCGCTGACCTCACACTCGACATCTAAACCCATTTAGCTTCTGAGCCGCCACTGATACCGACTGATATCTCTCCACCGCTAACACGCACCACACTAATCCCGGTGTCATTTTCTCCAGACTGCATGTTATTGTCCATCTACACATCCGTAATAAAAGTGCTGCTCGCTCATTGTGGGCCGGGTGACAGGAAAGTGAGGCGACGTCTTGACATTTGACAGAAGCACACTCAAAAGTGCGTCACCTGTCGAGCATACAGACTTACAGAACAGAGAATATTATCCTATATTTTAAACCTCCACATATCTCAGTCCAAAATCAAACTAAAACTGCATCAAACCCGGCCAGTACATTTAGTTTGTCCGTGACAACTTCCACTGTGTATTTTGCACTGCACTGCGCAGCACCAAAGAGTAAACACGGAGCTGAAAACAACATCTGCATCAAAACTGTATGAGACAGAGTGCAGAGAGACAAGGACGAATGGAAACCATTGAGATAAAGAATAAGTCCGGTGAACTGATGCATCTCTGCATGAAAACAGCTTCTATCCTGCTGCTAACAACCGCTGACTTCAGTTTTGAACGTATTAAAACACAATTCAGTTATCAGGGAGCACAAATAATTCATTCAAGTAAACACATTACTAATTACATGTCAATGAATGATCAAAAATCTGCCGGCCGTCAAACCTCAACATCACAGCATGAAAACATGTTTCTCACCTAAAACATTAAATATTTTATATTAAATGTTGTTTTTTGTATTTTATCATTTTATTTTATTATTATATTTTCACATATAACATTGATATTTAAAAAAATATAAAATATTTTAAATATTAGAATTAGAAATATTGATATTATGTCAATAATTACACACATATAATAATATGGTGATGGCAGAGTTTATCATTCATGGGTTCATTTTTACCTTTTCAGTATTAATGTAGTGTAATTGTACAGTTACGGTCACAGACTCTCTCTCCACCTCATTACACTCGTATGTGAGTGTAATTCATTTGACAAAATGCACTATAAACAAAGTTAAAGATGAATTAGACTGACAGCATTATCATTATTATTATTATTATTTTGTGTCTATATTCAGTCCATTTCTCAGGTTTGGTTACCAAATCAGAGCCTCACACGCAGGATAAAGTATCACAAACAGCCTGAAAAATGGCAAGTGCTGATGACAAGCTGTTTGTTGCAGACTTACAGAAATAACAACTCTAAAATGGACATATCCCTTTAACTGACGTGACAAACGTTAAGTTAAAGCTGATGTGATGGATATGAAATGTCCCTCACTACTAATTGGTTGGGACAAAAACAAACCAACGTCTCCTAAAGAAAAAACTGCTGCCGTGAGGACGAGGTCTGAGGAGATAATGAAGTGAAAACAAAACAAATCAAAGCAAATCAGTCTGATTAGGCTGGAATACTGTCACTGCACAGTGTGAACACAGACACTGAGGACAGTGATTACCCAGAGTCACATGAAGGCTCCTCACATGCTGCATTAGATAACTAAATACTGTTAAGGTCACACTCAAGGTCATCATGTAATATGAGGAGAGGGTACCGTCAGCTATCGTCACAGTCCCCAGAGTCTGGCTTTTCTCCTCAGCCAGACAATAACAGCCTCTGTTTTCTATTTCATTACCACTAAATTATTAAAGCAGCTCTCTATTTCCTATGATAGTAACAGGCAGAATGGCTTCCCCTTTCATCACCCGCAAATATTTCAGAATCATCTCTGGCCTTCATGACTCATACTGGCTGTGCCCTCTGTGTGCCAAAGCTTGGCGTGGATAATTAATCTAATTTTAGCTTGGTGTGTGTTTGTGTGTGTGAGTGTGTGTGAGTGTGAGAGAGGAATACTGGACAGCGTTGTCATTTTCCCTCAGCGAGCACGTTGAAGGCTGCATCAGCCTGACATACTGTTATCTCCTCCTCCCTCTCTCTGTCAGCGTTCCTCGCTCACGCCTCTATCTTCCTGTTCCTCTGCTATCACAGATGGTCGAGACAAAGCAATTGTGTATTCATGGCTGATATTTTTTGCATCTGTGTTTTCTGCACATGGATTGATACCTGTAGCTATCACAACACCTGATAATGAAATTATCTTAAATTCATTTCTCTCTGTTTCTTTTTCTCTTTGCCTCACCAGCAGTGGATGCGGTGCCGGTACGGAAAGATGGGGATCAGGTAAAATGCTATTATCTTTTTTTTTTTTTTCTTTTTTAATGCCTCCATCATTTCTGCACACCTCAATCTATTTTCCCATTTTGCTGAAAGCCACTGTGACTGAATACAAAAGACGGCAGTGCTGGTGTCCTCAGCTCTCCTCTTCTATCTGAACAGTCAGAAACAGACATGGTGGTGGTGTGTGTGTGTGTGTGTGTGTGTGTGTGTGTGTGTGTGTGTGTGTGTGTGTGTGTGTGTGTGTGTGAGAGAGAGAGAGTGTCATTTCATGTCTCCTCAAATCTTTTAGAGGTGAGAAAAAGAAGCGCTGTTACTCACCCAGAACTGCCTCCTGCTGTTAGACGGCCGGGCCGCGGCCTCAAGAAAGGTCAACAGATCTAAACTTTGAAAGAAAAGACGGATTCACAATGTGTGCAGGGTGGATTTGTCTGTGTGTGTGTGTTTGAGCATTTGGAAGGTATTAGGACAGTGTCAGAGTTTCTGTTGTTTTGTCTCTGTACTGCAGCTCACTGGAATGTGGCTTTTTTTTTTTTCTTTTTTTTTTACACATCAAAGTCTGTTCACAAATCTTTGGCTGTACAACTTGGGTCTGAAGATGACAAGCTTGAAAATGAAACTAGAATCACCACCTCATGGTTGTAAAATGTAAATCTGGTCACAATCTCTCCTTCCTGAGTTACAGCATTGAATAATGACCAAATGACCAGAAGTGATTTTGCAGAACATTATGATGTCACAGTGAAGTTGACCTTTGACCATTTACACACAAAATGTCATCACTTAATTATATCCTTCATTCATGAATTTCCCTTAGGGGATAAATATCTATCTGTCAAAATATGTGATTTGTGAGATCACAGTGAACTTTGACCTTTGACCTTGGACCACCAGGTTGTACTCAGTTCATCCTTGAGTCCAACTGAATGTTTGTGTCAAATGTCAAAGACGTTCACTCAAGGTGTTACTGAGATATCATGTTCATGAAAATGGGACAGACAACCCTAAAACATAATGCCTCTGGCCTTGGCTGTTGCCAGTGGGTGCCCATGTTTAACTTCACAACGCTATGAACTGTGGGTAATTCCCTCTGGAAAAGTCTGCAGAAACGCAGATTTACGGAAAGTGTGCATAAAGGGCTCAGAGAAAGATAGATAGAGAGAGAGAGAGAGAGAGAGAGACAGAGAGAGAGAGAGAGAGAGAGAGAGAGAGAGAGAGAGAGACATCATGCACTTGATGGTTTCACAGTGGGACAGCACTAAGCCCTCATGGACTTAACGGGAATGCGCCTCAAAGTCTTTGAGTCCATGAGGGTGGACGTTGGGATTGGGCCTAAATTTGCTTCTACTAGTATAACACACCCGAATATCCAACCAAACTATTGGGGGTTGAAATGCATTATGGGTATTGTAGGCGACAAGGAAGAAGAATGTGTGGAATAAAACAGATGACATTTTTTAAAAACTGCCTATGAGTCTGATTCTGTCACAGGAGTACCCTTTTATTGAGCGCTGGGTTAAAGTGTTGTCTTTCAGCTTTTATTTGAGGGTATCCACATTACTACTGTGTATTTTTTTTTTTTTTTAAATCAGTGACCTGACGTTAGTCCAGCTGATTATTTGTTTTGCTCCTGCAGACCAGACTGGAGCTGGTGGTTGTGCCGGTCTGGCAGAGAACCACCAGGGATGTCTGAGAGCTGGACTTCAGACAGTCACAGAGATGTTAAATATGAGTGGCCGTCCTGGAGGCTAAGTGGCACACAATATAACTCCAACATCCCTGCTATTATTTGTTACATCTCACACATCCCTCTCCTGCTTCATTTCATGCCTGTCTCTATACTATCTGTGCCAGGAGGGCAAAAACTATAAAGCATAATCTAAAAAAGAAAAACAAAGAAAGTTGATGTTACTTGTTGTTTGCTCTGCAGCCTCACAGTGAGGAGGTCCTGAGTTTGAATCTTCCAGACAGCTCGGGCCTTTGTGTCTGGAGTTCACATGTTCTCCCTGAGTCTGCGGGAGCTCCGGTTTCCTCCCACAGTCCATAGTCGAGATTAATTAGTGACTCTAAATTGGCGAAGGTGTGAATGGACTGTCTGCACGTGTCAGCCCTGTGATAGTTAGCCAGCTTGTCCAGGGTGTACCCTGTCTCTCACCCAGTCTGCGCAGGGAAAGGCTCCTCTTGCATGGTAAGCAGGTATAGATGGTGGATGTATGACCACTTGCTTTTGCCCCGGGACGCCTGTGAGCTATGCATGAAAAGAGCTCCAGATCCTACACGCTGTTCATAATGTAAATGTCAACACCTTCAAATTAGAGCTGAAAGTCAACACGTTACCCTCACTGTTTCACTGCCACTGTTTTATTTTAAACCCACGGTTTCTGCAGCACAGAGACAACACAACGGACGAGTCACGAGTTTTTGGTTTCAGTTGAAAAGTTTTACTGTCCTCTGCTGTTTCAGATGGTTTCAGCCTTCAGAAGCTCATATTAGTCAAACCTGTGTCTGCTCCTGTGTGTCTGCCTGCACTCTCGTGACTGGCCGTGCGTGGCTGGGTGTGAAGGTGTGCGTGTGTGTGTGTGTGTGTTGATAGTCTCTTACCAAGGCCACATAGCCGCTGTCCCCCCCAGGGCTCAGACTATTACTGAGCCATGTATCACTTCTCAGCTGTGGACCCTGGGGAGAGAGAGAGAGCAATAGAAAGAATGGGAGAAGAGAGGGAGACAAAAACAGAGACATCCATCTTATTGTTTTTCCATCACTGGCTGCTGCTTTCTTTTCTTTAGTGTTGTCATTTTTCCTCCCACACGAGGGTTGGAAGGCCGTCACGCACCAGTAGTTTCACTACTGTATCAATATTTTAAAGGTTTATTTGTTAACATCATTATATTACTGCTGAGTTAATTACAGCATGCATGTGAAATCAAGATGGAAATGACCTGTAGCCCCTTTAGTAGCTAGCTCCAGTGACTTTCTTAAAATTAGGACCACATTTCCCACAAACCCTGTGGTTTTCTGCCACCCCTCATATTTTTTTGGTTCAGTGTTGACATTCGCAGTGGCCATGGGATCAGTAGCAGAATTCATTTTGATCAAGTGTTGTTCCTGTGGAGCGCTGATCCCATGGCGGCCCTCCAGTTGTTTACTTCCTCAAACATGACTCCTCTGTGTAATTTATAGACCTGCAGAGAGAGAGAGGCCAGCAGGTGGAGAGGGACCTGATACAATATAATACAGCAGCTCGGGGAGACGATTCAGACTCTAAAACACTACAAACGGACAGATTGGAAACACTAACACACATTATAGAATGAAACTACAGGCTGTGAACACGAGACAAAAAAAAAATCATAACTCCAGACTACAGATGAAAAGAACACATTATTACGAGGCTCAGACAGAAACAGAGCATGGCACAGTTGCTTACTGAAGACTACAAACAGATCTTGGCCACACACCTGTAGTTTAGCTCTCTTGGAGAATAACAAACTACAACTAGAAAGACACCGAAGAGCAAACTGATGGAAAAATGTAGCTTCAGCTAATGAACCTGTAGAAACTGCAGCATTCACATAGTTTTACTCTACTTTTTTTGTTGACAAATGTTGTTACTGACGGTTGATTTGTGTCCATTTATTTGTGTCCATTTTAACGATTTTTATAACTGATGATATGAACGATTTAAGTTTGTAACTATTCCAAGTATATCCAGATTCAGATGAAGATTAAAACAAGACTAAGAGTCCACAGTCATGCTGGCAACTCTGTACTTTACTGAGCTTAATGCTAACCTCAGCATGCTAACATTCTCACATGCTAACCTGCTGATGGTTAGCAGGTATAATATTTACCATGCTCACCATCTGAGTTCAGCTAAACACAGAGTACAGCTGAGGCTGATGGGAATGTCATTCTTTTTGAACATTTCCATCCATTCTTGTCAAAATATTTCAGTTACAACCAAATAGTATAAACCTCATGGTGGCGCTGCGGACAAAGTCCGGAGCTCATCAAAGTTATTAGGATTCATGAGCTGGGAACCATGAATGCCTGAACCACATTTCATCACAATCGATCCAAAGTGGTGGACAATACATGAAGCCACGCTGCTACCAAGGCTAACAAACTCATACGATCCTGCAACTCTATAGTTTAGATGATGCAGGTTAGAGAGTCCCTGAAGAACCAGGCCTGGATCTGATTTGTCTCTTCCTTTTCCACATTATGGCTCTGTTGGGATTTCAATTAGTTTTACAGGAAGTACATCACAACAAATGATGCACAAAATCCATCATCAGTTATTGCGATGTTTTTAATAAAACATTAACAAAGAACTTTTTATTAGTTTTATATGAGCTCATTAATAATTCATCATGGACTCACTGTTTACTATATGAACTTATCTTCATTGATTACTTTACCACGCTCCTTAATCATTCCTGGATACATAACAAAAGCCTCAAAAGTCACCTTTTAGAGATTAAATGTATGAGAGTTTGTTTAAACCGCAGCAAACAGGTGAGGTGTGAAATCACCTTAAAACTTTACATCACGGACAAACGACAGACAACGTTTTAACAGTGAACACGATAATCAAAGGTATGAGCTCATCGAATTGGACTCACATTCGCACACTGAACACAGGAAAACATCCCTGTTGCATTAGTCTCAGTGAAAGGCACATTAGCTGAAACATCAGCCTGTTTGCGGTTCCACTAAAAGTCAGATCAATGCTGAGTGCTCCTCTCAGATCTCCTCTGAGGATAGACGCTTTCCAGATTCACACAAGTCGAACGGAAGGGGATGGAAAACACAAACGGACCTGACTGAGATTCAGCTGCAGCTCTGGTGTAATTTATCGGCCATTAGTGTTTTCCCTCTGAACCAGGGTTTTAGACTTGAAATGAAGTTTCTGGAAAATGAAACCACAAAGACATTTTCTTAAAAGCCTCACTTAGATAATTCACCACTATTCAGTTTCTTTCATGTTTTTCAATTTCATGCCA